TTAGCGTAAGATGACGCGGTGGTCTGTGCGTTCCCTAAATGGTGGTTTGCCTTGGCCAAATTGAGTCTCAGCACCGAATATGGATTGGGCAAATATTTGCATTTGTTTATGAATTGGGGGCCCGTGAACCATGACACAAGTAATTCTCGGGTCACCCCATTATCACCTGTTGCGAGAATTTCGGTCTCATCAAATTTGAATGTGGTGCCGGGTCCCGTCGAACGAGTCGCAACTTGAGAAATGGCATCACTTCGCCGCGCTGCTGCCGCTTGTTCGGCAATTCGCGCCTTTAGAAGTCTGCCAGTTTCTCCGACATAGTTGCTTTGACCGCAACTGTACCAGATCCTGTAGACGACTCCAGATGTATGGACGAGGAAGAAGGTGGTGCTCTGGTGCTTGACACGCCTTCTTCCTCGTCCATGCAAATACCTAGATCGCGAACCTTCTCATTCATTCGCGACTCCAGATGTTTCTTGCCGTGGCAGTGGGTCTTTCGGTTTAATTATCTGCCGCCTTATGGCTGCCTGTAGCCTGCGTGCGCCTCTTCTGTAAGTTCCTGCCCAATATGCGTATTTCAGGATATCCGCCTGATGTTGAACATGTACTTCGGTAATTACCACAAGTCTACATTGAACGACACGAATGTGATTATGACAGTTATATGCTAATATTTCTTCGTAAGTTGGCGAAAGCATCAACTGAAATCAAAGTATTCTGATCTCGAAGCCTGCAGGACATTTTCAACACCTTGAGTTGGTGAATTGCATGCCTGCTAGGTCAAATGAAACCAGAACATTACTCCCTTGGCTTTGCGTATGACTGTGACTTGGGTTAGGTTAGGTTTTTGGTTTGGCTAATGCACAAAAGCCTAACACTCATGCGATACAGTCGACGCGTCGTAAGGGATTGCCATTAATCAATCGTTGGACCTCACACTGGAGACCACAAACGGCATTCAAATAAGTGTGGATGAAATTGCAATAGAGAGTGAAACTTATTAGATTGTAAATTGCAGTTAGTTTAAATTATAAATGATGATATACAGCACGATGCTTAATGGTTACACTGTTGCATGTTGTTGACACTCCTGTTTACCGAGATGTTTACAACCTTCTTCCTCTTTTAGCTTCTGCTCCCCTGTCACTGTCCCCCCTTCTACTAGTGCTGCTACTAATGGAATTAATCAACTACGCAGGGTGTCTCGACGGTGTAGCACCTTCCGACTTTTTTATTGCACATCCAAAGAGTCGGTCCGTGACCCTGAACAGCACATTCATACTGGAGTGCCGTTTCCGGATCGAGATCTTTCAGTCAGCGTCTCACGAAGGACTCCCCCGTATTGATTGGTCTCGAAACGGATTCGGGATCGGTGGGACGCCCGAGGATATCCACCAGGCGGGCATATGTGCTAACTACCCTGACTCTCGATACTCCTTGCCCTACAACCTGCAGGAAGGTAAGTAGAAATGTATATTATAAGGCAGACCACAAGAAGGATATAGAAACTCTGATTACAAATATATTTTGTTAGGGTTTTTGGCAGATTTGCTTAATTTTAGTTGACCCAATTGTGAAAAAACTCGCGGCGTCGGCGGGAGTCGAACCCGCACAGCAGGGAAGGCTTTTACGCGAAGCCAACACTCCACCGATTGAGCTACGACTTCCACCGATGCCGCCAGTTTTTCCCAATTGGGTCAGCTAAGTATAGTTTGGCCGGTTTTTGGGATGAAAAAAAATCGAAGTTGTAGGAATAAGCTTCTGCAATCCTGGAGCTACTTCAGATTTAAATATAAGTCCCAGACTGTCGTTATTGACTTCCTCGGTCATGTTTGATATATTTATGTCCGATTTAAATTTAAGCGGCTCATACTTACTGTCATTTCCTGTCATATGTATTGGGTTCGGCATACAATTTACCCTGTGGCAAATTTGCCAACTTCTGACTCAAAAAGAGATATCATTAACTCATAATAATTTCTTAGAATATTTAAGAGAAAAATACAACATTTACTGCTTCATTTTCATACGATGTATTTTGGGTTATTTAATACATCAAGCTATGTCGAAGAAATACAGGATAAAGTATCTGACAAGAATTTCTTTAAGTATAATGTCCGCTCGCGGACAAGAGCATTTACAGGCTTTTTGTCTTAGCCGAAAGTGTAATAATAAATGAAGGCAACAGCGTACATCGGCCTGATTTTACTCTTAGTGCCCAACCGATATTTCACTTCCCGATTGGTTGAAAACAGTGTCAGCGGTGTCAACTTCTTAACTCAACAGCACGGACTTGTGCTTGTGATAGGGTACCCGTCAGCCGGCTATGCACTTAATTCACCTTACCTAGGCTAAGTCTAACTTTTGATCCTCACACAGTCTAACAATACAACATTAGTCATGAATTCCCTCCTGGGCTTCATCCAAATTAGTCCCTTAGCCATGGATGCCTGAGGTATCTGGGAACTCTTTTAAACAGCTATCTATGTTCAACGATGATACCCATGCAAGCATTGAGAAAGTCAAGTTAGGCAAACGAACGGTTTCGATTAATTCGTCATCGGGCAATACAATAATATAAGGGAGGGTAGAGTTAACGAAAGTTTAAGCAACCAACTACACCTTGCATCCTCACCTCTCCGAACAAAATGCGAGCCAAGGACGACGGGACGACACGAACTAATTGTCCGAACCCTCCCCCCTCTCTTCCCTCCTACCCTACCCTTTCCCCTCTCTGGTCCCCAATTAAGACTAGAATCTGACCCCCTTTGATCCCTTTGCACCTCTTACCCCTTACCCCCCTAATTACTACTGATTAGTTGCTTGAACTTTCGTTAACTCTACCCTCCCTTATATCATTGTATAGCCATCTATGTGCCAGTTTGCATAATCCTGAGGACTATTTTTTCTATTAACTATCGTAGAAAATTTGAA